TGAGGATTTTAGTAACGTGCAAGCTTGCCCAAAAACGTGCGGTCCTAGGCGTATGTCTTATAGATTTTTTAGCGGTCCTTAATGTGTTAATAATCCAACAGTATTTACGACATAAGTTTATAAAAAATTCAACAATCTTCAATATAAATGCACAAAACAAGAAAAATTAAAAATTATTTGCATTTTTACGTGTTTACTGAATTAAAAAAGAGGAACATCGTGAACCTCGATGCTTTATACTGAACAAAAATTTTCTGTATCCTATTTGCATAGAGAAAAAAGTTTCTATTTTTTAAAATATTCTAAGAGAAAGCGCGCGGGTACCTGAGGGTCCCATAAACTGAGCCCTTTCTCTGGAAAGTCGAACGAGGGGGCTCCAACGGTTTTTCGGAGCAACGTGGGATACGACGCGGAAAGGACATTCTGGAAATAGCCGTCGAGCAAGACGGACGCCGGAAATCTTAAGAAGCGCTTAGAAATAAAGAATAAGTTATTTTTGGGATACCGCACTATCCGGATATTAGTTTTTTGTTTTCAGAGTGTTACTTACAAAATTTAGAATTTGAAAAATTTCCAATATAAATTCACAAGACAAAAAAAATTAAAAATTATTTACATATGTAAGAAATGCGAGATTTCGGCGGCGAAGTGGTGGCCTGAACTTTGTCACCCAGGAAAAGAAAGCGCGCGGGTACCTGAGGGTACCATAAACTAAGCCCTCTCCCTGGAAAGTCGAACAAGGGGGCTCCAACGGTTTTTCGGAGCAACGCAGGATAGGACGCGGAGAGGACACTCTTAAAATAGCCGTCGAACGAGACGGTCACCGGAGTACCTTAGCAGTCGCTTATATTCATAAAATAATACATTTTGGTTAATAGCCTATCGTGTGTTACGTTTATTTAAGTTGTGCTAACACATATTCATGCATTTACTGAATTTAAAAAAAAAGAACATCGTGGACCTCGATGCGTTATATTGTACAAAGTTTAAGATTCAAGAATTTCTAATATAAGGTAAATCAGGTCACCCCACAAGGTCGTGTCGAATTTTATAATTTAGATCGATATTTCGAAAGAACCTTCCAATTTGATAAAACGAAAAACGTAAGCGCCTTTTCATTCCTCAACTTTTTTCTATTTTTTCTTTTGTTGGTAGGATCATTATGTCGTCGCTGCAGTGTTTCCTTGGATCTTCGTTAAAGTATTTTTTACTTTCGGCACCAACTTACGGAATGACTTAATATATGCGAGTGTTTATTCGATCACGAAGTGGATTTACAAAAAACCAACGAAGTCTTCGATGCGTTCGAACAACAGATCGATGATCGTAAACGGGATCAATGCGGCGTGTCCAATGAAATAAAGCATAAAACGACACCCGGTCCTGTTTTTGCAAACAGGCGGAGAAAGGAGGAGAGGAAGAGAGGTGTGTTGATGCACTCTTTCACGGTTCGCGCGAAAACTGCACTCTGATATTGTGCAATGGTGTTCAATTGAACGGAAAGAGCCGATGATCGGTGTACTGTGACTAATCGTCGCCTGGTAGCCTTGTCCATGAAAAGGTGGTAGTTGGAGCGCGAATAATGCGCATGCATGCACTTTGTATTTATAGCCGCGACCCTATCGCAGCGAAAATTTAAGTGGCTGTAATATCTAGCCTTTTCAGCCAATGTTGTTGCAAGATCCATCTAATCGAAACCAAACGTGATATCGAGAAATTAAGCAAATAAACAGATTCGATTTAACGATTTTTACGCTAACACGATTACCGAAGGTAACCTTATCCGTAAAGATGGAAACGAGAATCGTCGAAATTTGTCTGTTTTGTAAAAATTAGTTAGATAATACGATACGATAGGTTTTTGAAGATATATTTTTTTTTTTATCAACAGTGATAAAGATACATTTGTATTTTTGGAATCGTTGTGGCAAGTTTCTTTAATTAACCTAACGTCCCGTTGAAATTTGCAGAATTAACTCCGAGTTGATAGGAAATTTGCCGGGAGATTCAATATTAGTCATAGTAGTTTCAGTATTAAAAGTTCTTCTAGTTAATCTAAAATAGACTGAGGATTAAGGAAAGAGGAACATGTTAAGGGTGATTAAATATTGGAAGTTACGGTGTAATATATTCAGTAATATCGTATCTCTTCGTCGACCAAAAGCCACGGTTTCTATTTGCAACGACTGTACACAGTTTGCAGCTAAAGATAGCAATAGGGATAGAAGCTGAAGGCTTTACTTCATAAGGCACAAAGATAATATTGCTATCGATCGATTCGTACGAGAAACAACCTTCCATTCTCCAACCCATTCACCTGAAAATTATTATAAAACAAACGTGAACGGAACGTGTTTTAACCCCTTGGGTACTAATTTAATTAAAAAAAAATTTCATCTCAATTCAATTGAATTTTCTTCTTTAAACACACGATATATTTCAATTCGTCGTTTATTTATTTTCACAACTCGAGCACGATCTATTGTTACGCCATGAATTCTAATTTATTGATAAGAATAATTCTAAGGGCATTGAATCGTTGAAAAACACCAAAGTGGTTCTAAATAAAAATCTACAGGGTTCTAAT